TATAGAGAGTAACAAAAAAATTATATTAAATTATTTACTAGAAATTCACATAAATTTGCTTTGGTATATTCGACTCTTAAGATATGCAGGATACCTCACAATAAACAATTTCCTCAAATATGAACATTGAATATCTCTAAATTAAATTCCACTCCAAGTCGAGTGCTGAGCCCGCTCTTTGTTAATTCAATTCATATAAATTTGTCGAGGCATATAAATTGCAATAAAGAAATGTTTAAAACTCTCAAATGAAGGGGTTTCGAGTAGACAAAAAGGAAATTTATATTATGATTCTCTTATTAGCATTTGTTCGCATATAAAAGCCAGTTTGTTCGACGAGATTAATCGGGCATAAAGAGCTTTGCAAATACAAATAATATTTAATATCAACTGGCAATTACTTGGCCATAACAATTTGCAAGACTTCAGACAACAAAGTTAGCAATATTTGGCCAAAGTTATCAATAAATTAGCTCAGATGCAGAAAGAGATTTGTTCGCATGCTGCACTGCCTCATGGCTGCCATTACAACTAACTGCACAGTTTCATTATATGCGTTCTTTAATGGGCATTGGCCCATTGGAAATGGCTACTGAGAGCAGAGAATCCCATCATGGAAATCGGGCATTAAATCAAATAAATTTGGGTCAATTTTATATGCAATATTTTAGACAGCAGAGCAAAAACAGAAGCAACTAAATAAAATCAGGCAAATGCGCAAAACAGCAAGAGGCAAAGCGAAAGAGAGAGCGAGAGAGAGAGAGAGAGAAATCTGGCAAATCGTTGCATGGCCAAGTGCAAATGCCTGAAAATTGGGTCAATAATTATTTTTCTTTTGCCCGTTTCATGGAGAAAGTTGCATTCGATTGTTGCAAAACTTTAATTGAAATTGAAAAACCATCAAAAAAAGAGAAAGGAGCAAATTTTAATTATCCTTGCATACCAATAGCAATCTAAGCCCAGCCTTGGATACGAAATTTCGCACTCTATTGGAGGAGATGTTCATCAACTGGACAACGCAAATGCACGACATTGTCATGGAGCGCTCCGAGGCCGTTGGCCTAACCACGAGCACCGCCGCCTCCAGCTCGCCCAGCAAGCACGTGTGCGTGGTCACATTGCCGGCTCAGGAGATTACGTTCTGGGCGAACCGCAAGCTCAACCTACAGAACATCTACGAGCAGCTGCGCGAGCCCATGCACAAGGCGCTGGCCCACATTCTGGAGCGCATCGAGTCCGTCTACTACGAGCCGTACGCCAAGGCATTCCGCCAGCTGGTGACCGCCTGGCTGGAGGCGCAGGACGTCTCGCTCTGGCTGCAGCCCTTTCAGCGTCACGCGGCCGCCTTCAACTCGGTGCAGTTCAGCAATGCCCAGGAGCTGATTGCGCCGCTGGTCCACGTGCTGCACCTGCTGTGGAGCAATGCGCGCTTCTACCGCAGCACTCAACGGATGAGCGTGCTGCTCAGCTGCGTCTGCAACATGCTGGTGCATCGCGCCGCCGAGGACCTGGAGTTCCCGCTGCTCTTCCAGGGCGATGCCGACGAGGGGCTGCAGCGCATCATCAAGACGGGCGAGGTGCTGGAGTTTTTCAAGTAAGTGCCAAACACATCCACTCAACAACACTTCTGACCATATATGGCTGCTCAGGCAGCGCATGCTCGAGTACAGGGAGCGCTATGCCAGCAGCCAAGTGCTGCTGCCAGCTTTGCCCAGCTCCGCCTCCGCCTCCGCCTCCCCGCCGGCCGACGACCAGCATCAGTTGTGGCGCTTCTCCAGCGAGCAAGTGTTTGGCCAAACACTTGATGGCTTCCTGCTGCAACTATCGGAACTGCGTCACGTCTTTGAGGCAGCCGTGCAGTTTCAGCAGCTGGAGAAGCTCGAAATTGGCGGACTGCGCGGAAAGCTGCTAACAGAGCGCATCAGAGAGGTAAGTTTCCTGCCATGAATCTCGCCCCAAATTGCCCTATTAACGCACCCTCTTCTTTGCCCCCAGATCTACAGCGAATTCAAGCTGCTCTTCGAGCAATGGACCAATGTAGACATCGACCTGGCCGCGCCCGTCGCCCACAAGTGGAAGTGCTTCAAGCGCGAGCAGCGCCTCTTCTTCCAGCGCATGCAGCAACTGGAGCAGAAGCTGGCCACGGTGCTGCTGCAGGCGTTCGAGCAGTGCTACAGCTGGATGCACCTGCTCAAGCTGACCCTGATGTTCGGCTGTCTGCTGCAGCGGCGCACCGTTCAATCAGAGCTAATTCGCCTGCTGCCACACATGCTCAGCATCTACAACGCCGAGCTGCTGCAGCTCGAGCTGAGTGTGGCTGACGTCCTTTTCAACTATCAGTGCCACGGACTCAAAGCGGTGCCCGTGGCGGGCAATTTCCCACCCATAGCCGGCGCCATCATGTGGCTGGAGCAGCACTTGCATCGCTGCGATGACCTCGGCGCTAAAGATCTAATCGATCTCATCCAGACGCTGTAAGTTCAGAGTTGAATAATTCACATCTGATAGAATATACTTCTCCTCCCAGGCTAATGCTGAAATCGGAGCTAGTGACGCTGCCGTTCAAATGGGATGCATTGGTCTCGCGTCGCAACATTCTCACCACGAAGCTGTGCAACCTGCAGCAAAAGATTTGGCAGGCCTGGCTGGAGGACATTGACAAAATTATTGCCGAGGGCCTCGATGAGCACGTGCTGTTTCAGGCGGACGCGGGCCAGCCGCTGCAGCTGAACTTTGCTCGGGCGCTCTTTACGCTGCTCAAGGAGACCAAATATTTGCTCGCCCTGCAGGCAGCTGGCAGAGTTTCGAGCAAACTATTTCCGATGCCCGAGGCGCTGCTCTCGCTGTACGAGCAGCGCGACGCCTACTGGCAGCGTCGCATAAGACTCATCAAGATTGATGAGTTCTACAATGGCATCCGGGGCGGGCAGTGCGCCGCAGCCGAGCTGCAGCTAATTGCCGCCGAGCTGGCGGCCATTGATGAGCAAGTGGCCACCGCCTGTGCCCAGCTAACTTGGTGCAATTACGGTAAGTGGATTAAGCTAATGCAAACATCAGTCAACACCAAGAGCTGCTCCCCCAGATGAGCCGCTCATCGAGAGCATCTTCGAGAAGTCGCGCGATCTGCATGCTCGCCTGCACGAGTCCCATGGCAACCTGGACGCCATACTGGCCAGCATGCGCCGCTGGACCTCCGAGCCACTGCATCAGCGTAGTCTATACGGACGCAATCTGCTGGATCTGCGCCACCAGCAGGAGCGAGTGCGGCTCCGTCTCCTGCAATGCGATGAGACGAAGATGCTGCTAAATCGCTTGTTGATTGCCAACTTTTGTTTGTTGTTCAACTACGAAAGGCAGCAGCTGCAGCTCTACTCCCGCGACCTCAGCGTCCAGGAGGTGAGCCCGCCCTGTTGTGTCAACAATATTATTATTATTGTAGCTGCTGTATACCTTGATGTTGACAGTTTCTGCACGAATTTCCGGATGAGCAGCGACGACAGTTCAACAAATATTTAGCCACCGTCGATGAGTTGATTTGCCGTGAAGTAAAAGAGGCCATGAGGATCAGGTTTGACTCCGCCAGTTGCTTAAATTATTCCCTTGTCCAGCAGCTTATCACAATTTCGTTTTTGCAAATTGCTTTTCTGCTTATTTTTCTGCTTACATTATTTTCATGCTTAGTCAATATTAATAATATAAAATATTGCTAGAAGAATAGATGATTAAAGTAGTGTACTAAAGGCAAGATTCCTCATTGAAAAGTATTTGTTGTCTATTAAGCTTTAAATATATTTTATTAAAATAAACCTTACCATACCTTAGACATAACCAACTAAGGCCCGTCTTGCCTATCTAGTACTATCCAGTAGGAATATATTTTTATCTGTTTTTTCATATTTTAACTTATAAAAATTGTCTTCCCTGCACCCAAACCTTCTCATTCAAGTATATTTCTAAAGTACAATTCAAATAAATAAATAAAATAAATATTATTTTATTAAATACATATATTTGTAAATAAATAAAAATATATATATAACTTAAAAAATAATAATAATAATAATAAAAGTAAAGCATATATTTTTTTGACTGAAATTTTCAAAATATATCTATAAATAGAATCAAGATATATTTATATTGATAAATATACGTATTTATATTTATATGCCTGCGGAAAGAACTTTTTTTACTTGTTTTGCACCTTCAAGCACATTTAATTAAAATAAACTTTGTCTTATTTTAAATACTCATAAAACCTCTCAAAATACTTCAACTTCATCGATAGATCATCATAGCTATCATCATATCATGCTCATCATCATAACTATCAGACTTTTCAGGCAGCACCTGCAACGTGATAAGTAAAACAACTCACTTAACCATTGTCACGCCCAGTCATGCAATCAGAGTGGCCTGCCAGCACACCAGCACACCAGCCCGCCGAGCGAGCAACAACTAGTATATGTGTGTGTATGTGAGTGTGTATATATTCATTACATACTGGCAAGCTGCCAGCGCGCCTTTCATGTCTCATCAGAACTAATCAAGTAAATGAACACGAATTTATAACCCACCCGCATTTGAGCACAGCCAACCGCAAGACTGGCAGACACCTTCACGAGCACCGACCGCAGCCAACACACACATACACACACACACACTTACATGCATACATGCAAGAGCAATAAGTACAGCAACAACGACAATAGCAAGTTCGAGAAGAACAACTACATTTTTGCTGGTGGCAGGGCATTCATGCGTCAATTGCATGTTTCACTTAACGGCACTTCGTGATTGCAAGCTGAGTCCTCAGTGGCAGTGGCAGCGGCAACAGCAGCAGCAGCGTCATCAGAAAACGCAATCGAAATAAGCACAGAACAAACTCAGCACTAAATTTAATTTTCGCATTACTCATACGCCGTGTAATTCAGTTTAGAGTATTTGCACAAGGAAATGACAGGAACGGCAACAGCAACAACAACAACTACAACAACAACTGCTGCAGCTAAGGCAACTTCAATAGCGCCCCCAACTTCAAGTATGGCCTTGCCGAGCATGGCTAGGTTGGTGCTACAACAAATCACAGCGCCACAAGCGACAGCGACAATAATACCAACAACAACAGCACCAACAACAATAGCAACAACCACAAGCAAAACAACATCAGCCACAACAACAGCAACAGCAACAGCAACAGCCATAGCAATCGGAACAACAGCAACAAACGATGCACCGCTTTTCGAAGTGAAATTGGAGCTGACGGAAACGGAAATACGTTTTTCGCCTGGCTTTGATGCAAGTGTGGAAAATAATTTTCAACAAATTGTCGAGCAGCTGTTGCTGGATATAAAACAGACATGCGACTGCATGCCAAGAATTGTGTCTGACAACTCGCTGTCTGACGACGACGACGCCGACGACGACGTGGAGGATGACGCCAAGAATGAGGGTGAGTCGATGCCGCACAGTTTACCATGCACCAGCAGAAGGTGCCGCCATGCCACGCCACGCCACGCCACGCCACGCCACGCCATGCCACGCCATGCGATGGCAGGCCGGGCGTGCGGCATTCCTTGCGTTTGCTTATGAACTACATTCGCAGCTGCAGCCGATGAGTTGGAAATGCTTTGCGCCAGCATACGCGACGCCTTGAGTGAAACGGTGCAGGCGGCGCTGGATTATGCTGCCAAATTCCACGCCTATGCGTTCCTTTGGACCCAGCAGAGCGGCGACGTACTGGCCTCCTGCATGCAGGCCGCCCGCGAACAGACGACCCACATCAGCGGCAGTGGCTATGCCATCATGGAGACGTTCAAAAAGGAGGTAAGAAAATCAAGCACAAAAACGAAAAGAAAAATATCAAATGTGAGGGCCCCGAGCACGAGGCCGCAGCAGCTTGCCAAGTGCGCCACAGTGATGTGCCCACGCACACGGACACACGGACAGCTGTCGAGTTGCCGCAAAGCTAGAGGGCGAGAGAGATGGAGTGGGGAGATGGACAGACAGATGGAGGCACTAGTGACCGAGTGGCTCGCCGGGTCACTCAATTGGCAACCACACAATTTACGTTGTGTAACCCCTGAGACCAATAACGCTTGATAAATGTTGACCATTTAGGGTCAAATGTGTGGCCGAATCGGCCATCGAGCCATCTAGCCATCTCACTGGCTTTGCCTTGCCCAAAATCTGGACAGAGCCAAAAATGCTTAACCACATGGCGCCTGTGACTTATGCCAAATAGCAGAACGATTCACTGCTGTGAATACAGCAGGCAAATCGCTTGCGTATGCGTAATATTTTCTTTAAACAATTATCAAACGCCCCAAAAAGTATGCAATAAATAACACAAAGACGCCGCAGCCAGCACAACAAAAAGGGCTGAGCACAACAACAAATCATGGCCGAAATGCACATGCATAGATACGGCGTGAGGCTGTGAATTGAGTGCCACAATAAAATGCCAGAAATTTACCAAAATTTATATACATACATACATATATCTATATATCTATGTATGTATGTATGATATTTCTATCAAAACGAATCTCGATTGTCCTTTGTTTGCCAAAGCTACAACAACAACAACAAAAATATACACTCAAATGATTTTCAATTTTAATAATGATAAATGATTTTTTGCTTACATTTTACAACTCTTTCTTTTTGTTTGAATAAATGCTCTTAGTTTGAATTTGT